AGGTTCAGCAGGGCAGGTAGGGTGCAAAGCCCTCGTGCCTCGCTGAGGAAACGCAGCCCTCTGACCTGACCTGTGAAATCACCCATCACCTAAAACCCCCAAACAACAGCTGTACTTCGGCAGCACAGATTCATGCTTAAAGGGATAGTTCACCCAAAAATGAAATTCTGTCATTAGTTACTCACCCTCATGTCGTTCCAAACCCATAAGACCTCCGTTCATCTTCAGAACACAAATTAAGATAGTTTTGATGCATTCTGAGAGCTTCTACGTTTATTTCTCGTAGCTTTGTAAAATTACGGTTGAACCCCTGATGTCACATGGATTATTTTACCGATGTCCTTGCTATGTTTCTGGATCATTGATCGTGTTAATTACATTGCTGTCTATGGGAGGGTCAGAGAGCTGTCAGAATGCATCAAAAATATCTTAGTGTCTCGAAGATGAACGAAGGTCTTACAGGTTTGGAACGACATGAGGGTGAGTAATTAATGACAGAATTTTCATTTCTGTGTGAACTAACCCTTTAAATATCTGATGCATTAAAAACAAATTGACTGAAAAAAGCTAAAAGCATCGTACTTATACAGTTATATATTAGCATTATTGGGACATTTAGGGGTGTTCATGCAAGTCACAGATGTAACAAGATCATTAAAATGCAAACACGAACGTGCCAAACTTTTACTGATTTGTATTTGCATTCATTTGCATGATGAAGCTTCGCTGCAGATGTGTTTAATGACTGCTGCTCAGAAACACTACAAACGTCATACACTTCCCGTCTACAGTATGCAATGTTCAAAATGTAGTTTGGTCGTTTATACCCTGCAGAAGAAAGAAATGCATTTAGGTTTAGAATGACAAGGTGGAGTAATTGATAACAGAATTTTCATTTTTGGTTGGATTGTCCCTGAAATTTACTGAATAAAACATTAAACTCACAATTTAAAAATAATGGAAATTAGATTAATCTCTTTTAACATAAAATAGATTTTGTTTTAATTTATAATTAGTTTAT